GTTGAAACTATTTTTGTGGTTTTTAACATTATACCAGAGTAAGTGGAGCTTAGCCTGCACTGAACCTGGAATATTCCTCTGGGCCTCTTTGGTCGGACCTGACTGAAAAAAAAAATAGTTTGGAGATTTTGTTTTTTTTACTTTATCGGAATGGGAAGACACTTGGTGATGTTTTTGTCACATTAGCTATGTGAACAAAAAAAAATCGTGGACATGATTTGGATATGCTAAAGGGTCGAAAAAAGAAGTAACATTTGGTACCTTCGCAGTCAAAAATACCATTGGCAAAAAATATAGCTCATAAAAATTAAATACACTACCAGTCAAAAGTTTATGAACAGTAAGATTGTAAATGTTTGTTTGTGTGTTTTTTTTAAGAATTCTCATCTGCTCATCAAGCCTGCATTTATTTGATCCAAAATACAGCACAAGCAGTAATATTGTGAACCATTTTTGGGGGGGAAATGATAGAAATGAATACTTTTATTTAGCAAGGATGCTTTAAATTGATGGAAAATGATGATTAAGACATTTATAATATTACAAAAGATTTCTATTTCAGATAAATGCTGTTCTTCTGAACTTTCTATTCATCAAAGAAACCTGAACAAATTCTACTCCGCTGTTTTCAACATAATAATAATAATTATTATAAATGTTTTTGAGCAGAAAGTCAGAATATTAGAATGATTTCTAAAGGATCATGTGACTGGAATAATGATGCTAAAAATTCAGCTTTGAAATCACAGGAATAAATTACATTTGAAAGCATAATGTAATTTTTCTATTGTTAAAATACTCTCTCTTATCCAGCTTAACATGCAGCAGCAACTGGAAGTAAGGTTGATATGGCAACAATGGCTCAACCAATGGTGTGAGTTTGGGGCGGAGCTATCTGTTTGACCAACCAATGGCTAAAGGCACAGAAATTACACTAAATTATTTGTAATCCTAAAGGCATTTTATTTAATTACATTTTTTTTTTTTTTCACACTGACCAATGTCCACATTTATAATTGCTTATCAATACT